GTACGAATCAACTAAAGCGGTGGTAGGACGTAGTTGCTCATCTCGCTCCTCACTAGATATCGGGTTTATTATGGTTATTTAGTTTAGAATGGCATTGTTTCAACTAAGTTTTTATTTGTTACTTGACACATTTTGGTGGTTATGAAAGCATATCTTTTTTAAGAAGGAGCTTAACTTGGAAATAATGTTTTCGAATGTCATTGAATCTATTTTTAGACTTTTCTCTTTTAAACAAGTGTTTAAAATGCCACTTTGGGCAGCCTAAAGTGTAGATTTTGGTGGTCCAAAGTGCAGATTTTTTTTTAATGTTGAAAGAAGTGTAGGTTTTGAGGTTAAATATTTCATTCTTTTGAGGGCTTAAAGGTGTGGTATATTAAGTCTCCAAATGCAGCGTTTTGAGCCCCAAAGATGCAGGATTTTGAACTTAAAGGGTGTAAAATTTGAGTGCAAAAACGTGCCCCTTTGAGAACTTTGAAAAAATGCAGATTTTTGGTAAAGATGCAGACTTGGAGAGATTAGCCTTCCCCTTTTAACACCTTTTACAATGCAGATTTTTTTTGTTAAAAATATAAAAATGTGGTTCTCTTAACCTAGAAAAAATGCTTTTTTTTAGACCTAGAGTGCAAATTTTAGTGCAAAAGTAAAAAGAATGCATGTTGAAATATATATGTATATGAAAACGCTACACTTTGAGATTTGAAGGTGTATTAGTTTGGGCCCCCCCAAAAAGTGCTCTAAATGCACTTTTGAAAAGAAGAAGTGCGTTTTTTTAAGAGGATAAGACAAATATTATAGTTTTGTTAGAATTATTGTTATCCGGCTTAAGTTATTTATTTCAAAATGACCTAACATATTTATTGGCTTTACTTATCGACCCTCACTTAGGCCTTTATGTTAAGAAAACTTATAGGCGAAAATAATTACCTTTTGGGAAATGCATTTCCTTTTTATAAAGGGGAAATAAGTAGGGAAGTAGACTTATATATTTAACAAAAAATAAAATATAATTATAGAATAAAGTTCCAATAGTTGGCCTATTTTTCATCACCCCTTTATAAAAATATCGTCTATTCTTACCTTTGAATGAAATATTTCTAAAACTCCAAACTCTTAACATGCTCTTTCAAAATTTCAAATATGCCAACAGGTTGCAAATACAAGGTACATACATATATGCCATACACATAAAGGTATAAATTTTAGATTTTAGATTTGTTATTCTCTACACATGACCTATTATTTTGTTATACTCTTCTACCACTTTTACAAATGTTACTTATTTATTTTTATAATTTATAAATGCCTACACTTAAATATACATATTACTTTACTACATTAATATATCGTCAATTTGTCTATACATGTAAATAAATAATAAGTGTTCATATGTTCTAAACAACTTACATATATATACTATACTTTGTAATAAACATACTTAAGATCACAAACCTTTATATAATATTTTAATATTTTAACATCTAGTATCATTTATTTTATTTTATATTTTAGAAACTCCATTCTATATATTTTCATTCAAATTACATGTCACATGTTACTACATATTATCTTATTTTTACTTCTTAATAAGACGATAGATTTTCGCAAATTCAACATCTATATATTTCTAAGATAATTTTATTTTGATACACCTACCTATATATATTTTACATATGAATATATCGTATATTTAAGTACATTTATTTATTTATTTTCCTAATCATATTTTCCTAAATTGAGTTTAAGGACTATCTTCGGATAAGCTCTTAGGGATGCTTAATACCTTTCCCTCGAGTAACCAAAATCCTTATTCAGAATCTCACTGGTTTCACAAATCAAAACAGAGTTTACATTTGCATATAAAAATGGTTTTCCTAATATTTTCCTTAAAATTTAGGTGGCGACTCTAAAACAATTTTTTTTTTGTTTAAAACAGAGTGATAGTCATATTATGTTGTGAACTGTTTCGACTTGGTTCGAAATTGGGTGCGACTGCGTGGCGACTCTGCTGGGGACTTAGTTAGGTTTTAACCTTAGAAAAACTCAATTTAGGAACAACATTTGTGATTACGTGATTATTTTTTCAGCTTGCTATAGATATATTGCTTTGACTGAAAGGTCGCAAGTGAAATCCAAGCTTGTGTTCCTTATTTGTTTTAAAACACTACTTGTTACTGCTTTCCCTACATTGTCATTTGCACATTCTATCGAGTCTTGGCCGTACACGCATACACTGTACACGCGAGGGGTGTTCCTGCACTCTTCCGAAACTCTCTTTGGATTTCTTAATTTCAGAGTTGGTGCAGTTAAGATAGTGCACCTTCTTGCAATTACTCAGTCTCACTCTCAATCATCTAGGAACATAATCTTACTCTTAGAATAAGTCATGTTGCATAGCCTTAGGCAAGACAGTATACGGTATTGTTGTTGCATTTAGGAAACCACTCAAATGTCAATGAGTTTCTTCTTTAAAACTCAACGACATAAACTTTGTGTGAAATTGATATAAATTATCCAAACTTAAACACTTGATGGATTTGGAGCAAATAAACTCATTACACCATTTGCCCTCTTTTCAGATGAACCTCAACCAAGACTTGCCGGATATCCAAATGGTCATTTCAGCCTCCCACATTCTACAAAATTGGTGGCAAAATATCCGGAGTATACACGGGGATGAGATTCGAGGGCACTTAGGAGCTATATTGTCACTTCTGGGGATATTGTGTGATAAGGTCTTTGTCACTCAGTTAATGGGGTTTTGGGAACCGAG